ATTTTCACACAGAAAAGCAAAAATTTCAAAGAAAACACTGTGTTTGTTTTAAAGGGGCCAAGTTTGCCTTCTGCGTGGCAAGCAATACCTGTGCCTTATAGAACAGAACTACTTAATTGATTCTCCATTGAATGACCTATTTATTATTTAAGAACAATTCCTTTTATCAAATTAGAACTATCAAGCTATATTTGAATGGTTTAATGCCCAAAATCGATATCAACAAACAAAAAAACAGGTAAGAGCTGGTATAGTTAATCTTTTGTATTGTCTGTTGTCCTGCAGAATAGTTGCAAATATATGTTGAATTTAATTCTATCTTCAGTGAAAGTAACAAAAATGTGTACCTTTTAAAGCACATAGAGCCTTCTTTTATTGCAACTAATGAGGAAATTCTCTCTGCAAATTTTGAAATCATTAGCAAATTGTTATATTTGAATTTTTAGAACCTTATCATCATATTCATGTTGTAAATAAAAACAGATACTTACCTAATTCATGAAGATAGATTCTTTACAATCAGATGTAATGTAGATTTTGGTCCAGGTTTTCTCTTCTGTGTTGTCAATAACAGGTCTTCTCAGGAGCATAGAAGAAAGAGAACGTCATGAAAAGAGGATTCTTCTATCATTTATTGTGCCTTTGACCTCCTACCTTCTTTCTTAAAAGTGTACTGAATGCTACCTGGTGCATTTCATCCCAAACACTAAAGTACCTACTTAGTAGTTTCACACATATGCAAAGATGTCTTTCCAATCCTAAAGCTTAAAGAAACTTACATTCCCCATTTGATTATTTGTGGTGGTGTTTCAGCTTAAAGAAGATCCGCAGATGATTCTGTTAACTTTAACTCAACCAGATGGTTCTCCAAGTTGATAAATCCTGTGACTTGGAATAAGTCATTTTGCTTTTGCTCAAATAAATTGTGGGAAAAGAACCTGAATATAAGTTTTATTCATAGTGCAGTCTGATACAATTGGCAGAAAAAAACTATGCGCAGAAAAAAACTATGCACATAAAAAGTCTTTATTTTTTTTAAATAGTTGGAACTGATTGGGCTAAGTTGTTGATCTTCATTCTTCCACCATGTTGACTCTTTTTTTTTTTCTTCCCTCCCCCCCAGATGCACGTGTGCAGCAGGATGGACAGGGGCAGACTGCAGTGAAGATATAAATGAATGTGATTCTGAACCATGCTTGAATGGAGCCACCTGTTACGAATCTGTTAAGCAGGGACAGTTTGTATGCATTTGTCCTCCATTTTATACTGGTGACTTCTGCCATCAGCGCTTCAGTCCCTGTGAGCTGCCTTACAATCCATGCATAAACAATTCGACCTGCTTGGCACAAGTCGATGGAAATCCAATGTGTGTTTGCAAAACAGGTAAGAACTGGTATAGTTAATCTTTTCTGTTGTCTGTTGTGCTGCAGAAGAGTTGCAAATACGTGTTGAATTTAATGCTATCTTCAGTGAAAGTAACAATGAATACCTTTCAAAGCACATAAAACATTCATGAATTACAGCAAGTCTATCAGTTATATTAAAAGACTGCTAAAATAGCTGTCAGTTTGCCTACTATTAATTTCTTATATTATAGTACTTATTAAATCTATAGCTGTTTAGATTCCAGCACCCAGAATTACTATTTCTGAGTCAATTGGTACAACAACGTAGAGATAGACATGCACCTGGCCAGCAGAGCTGACAGACTAAATTGACAAAACAGACAGGCAGGAATAGACAAAATATATGCAAATTGTTAAAAGTACAAAAATTGGAGCAAGTTAGAAACGGTTCCTCTTCCCGCTGAGCTGTCAGAAAGGCCTGGCACATCAGGGGAGTAATCTTCCCCTGCCTAACGGACAGAGCGGATTGCTCTCCATATGCACAACAAGCAAAATCACAACAGGTGCTGACAGCTTTCCTGGACCATGGCTTAAAAGACACAATCTCTCCCTCGATGTACAAGAACTGCTAAGATGGAACGGAGCAACATTTTAACTGTGCAGAACATCACTATGCAATTCTGCATAGGAATTGAAGAATACATTAACTAATTAAAACTGCACTGAAAATTTAAGTAGGGAGAGTACAATTACTGAATTTGGAGTTTAGGCAGGATTTTGAAGTCATCACTTTTATACCTATAAATGGTAGGGGTGTCTTAGGGACCAAGGATAGCAAATACATTAATTGCAGTGTTAACACCACTGTAGTATTACTCATTGTTTATTGAGCTGCAAAGATGTGGAGATAATACGTAGAAGTCAGCAGCATTTATAGCTTGGGGTTTTTTTACTATTAAGGTAAAGGTTACCACAAGTTGCTGAGTTAAAAAAAAGTCACTGGGAAGGTATGCCAGTTGCTTTTTAAAAACAGCTTTTAATACAACGTATTGATTTTGAAACCTTTTTCGGAAATGATCTGTAGAGAGACATGTAGTTCAAGCCTTAACATTCCTCAGAAAAGTCTTATTTTGTGCAGAATTTCTCCAGAATCCAAAAAACTTGCAGCCAAGGTTCTCAGGGAGCTTTGACGGAATCTTCAAGGATTCTTGAAGCTTGCAGCTGGGAATCTTCAGGGAACGAGCAGGGTAGTTACGTGAACCAGTAACATGCATTGCTAGCAAATCTTGGAAAGTGGAAAATATCTCAGTATTGAAAAGGGGTAAAAGGCATAATTAATGAAATGAGTTAATCATTCATGCTAGGAAAAATGCAAACATTTTATTCAGGACCCTCACCAAAAAAAGGAGGGACAGCAAAATATAGAAATTTAATTGAAAGCAGTTTATGGAAATCTATTTCCGCAGTTGTCTTCTTTTATTCTCCTATTTTTGTCTGCCACGTGCCTCCCTTTCTGTCCCAATAAACCTGTCACGATTACAGATCTGATCACAAAGGGCAGTCACACTGACATAGCTAGATTACTCCAAGATACCTGACTTGGTACCAGATTGCATGTTGATTAAACAACTTGCCGGTAGTTAACAGTCCAGTCATTAGAAGGTATGAATCTGGTTTAGCAAGAGTCACAAAATGTAGCTGTGCTTACCAAATTCTAAAGATTATCTTTAGAAAACCATATCTGAGGTGGGTACAGTAGGACCACAAATCATGCTATTGACTGTGGTACTCACTTAGAAGAAAAAGAGAATACGCACTGACTACAGGGAGCTGGGATTGGGATGCCATACTAGGGCAGAGAGGACAAAAGCTGATAGAGTGTAAATCGGGCACAATCAAACTTGATGTAAGATGTTAGCCTAGGACAGAATTTTTACAGTAAATTGGTAGGGAGATAATGAGGTCATGATCAGTAGTAGTATAAAGCAAAACTACACATCTTCTTGTATGTACGTTAGGGAGTTACAGTTGTCTGTTTTTGCTTTAAAGATTTTTAAAATTCTGTAAGTAGTATAAATGTAAAACTTCCTCTTGAGGTGTCTGCCCTAGCTGTAGAGGTTTGCTTCCTGCAAGGAGATGGATTATAACGTTCGTAATGCAAAACTGGGCTCTCATATTGTAGATCATGGAACAGTGTTAGACCATGAGTTTAAGTTAAGTTGTCCACACAAGCAGGTTAAACAGTTTAAAAAAATTGTGATCTCTACAATTGTATGCTGGTATATTCATAGTTGCAAGAATGTTGTAGGGTAGGCCATTATTGCAAAAGTTTAGGAATCACTGCAATAGAGCAAGTTTCCCAAGAAGTGTACAGAAAACACCTCTTGTTATGTACTTTGCCAGTAATTGATAAGCAAGGGTTTGATCAAGGCAATTGGGAGGACATGGCTTTTTGAGCTATTATGCATATACCCAGCATTGAATCCTGCCATTAGTTTCTCCTGAAACCCTACATACTAAATGCAAATGAAACAGGAGGAGAGGACAACTTGGGACAAATAGTAGAATGGTTTTTATTGCTTAATTTATCAACGTGTTTTTCTGTTCTTAAGGAATTCCATTCTTGGAATTAATAATAGAAATGTAAATTTAGTGTAACAGAAAAGAAAGGTGAGAAACATGAGTAAAGCTATAGACTATAAATAATGTTGACATATTTGTAGCTGAGCCTGGGCAACTATTCATAAATTCCCCAGAAGGTCTACGTGCAAAAGATCCAAAGAGCAATTCAACTGCATAGATAAGTGAACTAGAGGGTCAATAAAGTAGAGGATGAACATTAGACCATGCTGTTCTAGATAATGCCAAGCACAAAAGTGTTCATTTCATAAAGGCAACCGAAAGGGAAGACAGGACAGTTTGGTAAAAATAGTTCAGCTTTCTGAGAACAATTGTGTTCTAAGAAAGAACAATTTACTGAAAAAGATATATTCAAAATGAAGGAAAACTATGAGAGGGCATACAACTAGAGAGTACAAGATCAGCTCTCTGGCTTGGTCTGTTAAACAACAACAGGCCTACTTCATGATGAAATGGGAGACAAAAGGTAACAGTTATCACAGAGAAATGTGAAACCTGGAGAAGTGCAAGCACATAAATATTACAGAGAATTAACAAGCCAAAAAATAATGTGCCAACATAAACCATGGGCCAGAAAACATGCAGTGTTTTCTAATAAAAGACTTTTTTTAACCGATTTATTCTTCTGCAAGAATTATTAGTAGATATATCTAGGAGCTAAAGCAAGGTAAGGTTAGTAGGAACAGCAGATATAGTTGTTGCTGACGTAAAGACAGGATGGGAAGGACAAGGTTGTTGAATTCAGAGGATTTTTAGAATTCCTGCTTATTATAATAGAAGGTAGAAAATCATCTCTTTAAAATTAGATGTAGATCGTCCTTCATTAGTCCAAGTAATATCCTCAGTTCAGGATGGTTATGCAGTCTCCTTATTACAATAGAAGCAATATTCTGCTTAGCTTTAGTTTTGACAAAATGTAGCTGTGCTTACCAAATTCTAAAGATTATCTTTAGAAAACCATATCTGAGGTGGGTACAGTAGGACCACAAATCATGCTATTGACTGTGGTACTCACTTAGAAGAAAAAGAGAATACGCACTGACTACAGGGAGCTGGGATTGGGATGCCATACTAGGGCAGAGAGGACAAAAGCTGATAGAGTGTAAATCGGGCACAATCAAACTTGATGTAAGATGTTAGCCTAGGACAGAATTTTTACAGTAAATTGGTAGGGAGATAATGAGGTCATGATCAGTAGTAGTATAAAGCAAAACTACACATCTTCTTGTATGTACGTTAGGGAGTTACAGTTGTCTGTTTTTGCTTTAAAGATTTTTAAAATTCTGTAAGTAGTATAAATGTAAAACTTCCTCTTGAGGTGTCTGCCCTAGCTGTAGAGGTTTGCTTCCTGCAAGGAGATGGATTATAACGTTCGTAATGCAAAACTGGGCTCTCATATTGTAGATCATGGAACAGTGTTAGACCATGAGTTTAAGTTAAGTTGTCCACACAAGCAGGTTAAACAGTTTAAAAAAATTGTGATCTCTACAATTGTATGCTGGTATATTCATAGTTGCAAGAATGTTGTAGGGTAGGCCATTATTGCAAAAGTTTAGGAATCACTGCAATAGAGCAAGTTTCCCAAGAAGTGTACAGAAAACACCTCTTGTTATGTACTTTGCCAGTAATTGATAAGCAAGGGTTTGATCAAGGCAATTGGGAGGACATGGCTTTTTGAGCTATTATGCATATACCCAGCATTGAATCCTGCCATTAGTTTCTCCTGAAACCCTACATACTAAATGCAAATGAAACAGGAGGAGAGGACAACTTGAATGGTTTTTATTGCTTAATTTATCAACGTGTTTTTCTGTTCTTAAGGAATTCCATTCTTGGAATTAATAATAGAAATGTAAATTTAGTGTAACAGAAAAGAAAGGTGAGAAACATGAGTAAAGCTATAGACTATAAATAATGTTGACATATTTGTAGCTGAGCCTGGGCAACTATTCATAAATTCCCCAGAAGGTCTACGTGCAAAAGATCCAAAGAGCAATTCAACTGCATAGATAAGTGAACTAGAGGGTCAATAAAGTAGAGGATGAACATTAGACCATGCTGTTCTAGATAATGCCAAGCACAAAAGTGTTCATTTCATAAAGGCAACCGAAAGGGAAGACAGGACAGTTTGGTAAAAATAGTTCAGCTTTCTGAGAACAATTGTGTTCTAAGAAAGAACAATTTACTGAAAAAGATATATTCAAAATGAAGGAAAACTATGAGAGGGCATACAACTAGAGAGTACAAGATCAGCTCTCTGGCTTGGTCTGTTAAACAACAACAGGCCTACTTCATGATGAAATGGGAGACAAAAGGTAACAGTTATCACAGAGAAATGTGAAACCTGGAGAAGTGCAAGCACATAAATATTACAGAGAATTAACAAGCCAAAAAATA